ATACGCGGACGTGAGACACGCCGATCCGTATTCGCGTGTTGCGACGCGAACCCTTGCGGTAAAGGGACGTCTTCGTGCGGTCGCGTCTCTCGATCTTGTCTCGTCTCGATTTTCGCGGAGGAGGCCTCGTTAACGCCAATATAGAATATACACGCGGTAAAATATTCGTTGAAGGGGGCACTCGACGATTTTTTGCGCTAGGAATCGAGATCGAAACGATCGTGCGATATGGCAGCGGGCTTCGACCCCGTTATTATTGTCGGATAAACTCTTCTTGGCGGACGAGGCCATAATTTGCACGAAGTTTCTGCAAATTATAACTGAATGTTTTAACTATTTATTATATATATATATATATATAATAATTATATAATATAATAATATAATAATTATATTGTATATATGATATATGATAGGATAGAGATATGATGTTATGTACAAACATTTTTCTTATCGTTTAAAAAATATTCTCTTTGCAGCGAGCCTCATATTTTATTATCGCATCGTTCCTTGACAAGCGTATGAACCAAACGCGCATAAAAATGCATTCGCCTTCGGCAAAGTCACACCGTCGAGAGGTCGCATCAAAACCGGGAAGAATCAAGGATCTTTCGCCGCTCGAAAAATCTTTTTTTCTTTTTTCTTTTCTACTTCATCTCACAGTTCGGAGAAAAAAAAACGCAATCGGAGTTTATCAGCGAGCGCGGAGCCGAGGCGCAACGCGCTTTGTCCGCAACGCGTCGCGTCGGTGCATTCGCTATGCACCAACGGCGGACTTTATACACCGCGCTCTCTGGCCCTCGTCCTTTCCGATCTCCAGTTGATCGATTTTCCGCGGGGTCGACGACCCCCGCGCTCTCGCTCTCACGAACCCCTCGTTGCTGCGCCGCGCGAAGAAGAAACGGAAAGGCGCACTTTCGGCGACGACCGCGGCAACACGCCGGACACGCCGGCCATATTTATCGACTAGGACGCACTAGGACGCGTTAGATGAAACTATATATTTACTATGAAACGCGATCAATACTCACAATTCTGATGGGACTAAACATTATCTCGTTCGCGCTCGCGTACGCTGCGTTCGGCTATTTTCGCGTTCCGTTAAATCGCTCGCAGTTAATCGAACGCGTTTCGATTCAAGCATCGTTTTCTTGTTTTAAACGCGTATTTTTTTTACCTGTTTTTTTTTTCATTGACAAGTCGTTTAGTATCTCTCGTTTAGAATATTAGCGTCCCTTAAACAGACGCTGCGCTGAATTAATAATTGAAATTGATATATTGGACGTGACGACGTAAAATTGTATAATGAAACACAGTTATTACATTAACAGCATTTAATATAAAGCATTAACTTGATTATGCGCAGAAAAATTGTATAATTTTGTATATCGATATCTCTTTAAAGTACAGAATAATTGCAATATTTTTCCGTTTCGCTCGAACAATCAAACACAGGTATCGCCAATCTAACGCAGATTTAATGGATAAAAATATTCCACGTTCCCTTATGTGTTTATTGTTGCATGAACTTAAAATTGTACGTCGCCGGAGCGTAAATAATCGAGTTTACACGCGACGTAGAACCAGCGTGTTGCGACCAAATTAGTCGGCAATGAAAATATTTCGCTGCAACAATCGAGAAATATATTGTTACAAACACTGCGGTAACCGATCCTAACGTACTCGATTTTTTTTTTTCTTTTGATCATCGCGCTCGCGTACGATTAAAACGTATTTCAAGCGATGACTGGTGACTATTTCCGACTCGGTGTACGAATTTTATGAATCCCGTTCGAACACTGCGGAATAATAGTTTTAGGAAAGTTTATTAGTTGAGATCATTGCTATTATTGTGCACTGAACGACGTACTACGATACGCTACTTCGATGTGGGTTAAAATTTGAAAGGGTCAACGATGGCTTCTCGACGGAGAGACACAGTTAATTTGATCTGGAAAAAGTTAAAGAGCTCTCATCGCGGCCAGCTCGCGTCGGCAATAAAGCCGCCGATGATGCAAATTGATGGCGAATGCGGTAACGCGTGAAATTGGTTCAAGATGCGCGTGTGCCTAGCGCAAATAAACGCGGCGAAGAGAGGAAAAAAAAGATCGCTTTGCCGGACGCGAATCAGATATTATTTTTGTAGACTTATGGCGAACGATCGCGTTTAGCAAAACTGAATTAGAGAATCGTTCTCTCCTGCCAGCTGGGAACGATCGCGGCGTCGCTCGCGAATTGCGATTGTCAAAGATGATTCAGTGGCGCCTGAGTGGCAACGTCATCTTGGCACCGCGGCGACGAATATTCGCTCCGATATATTTTTCGCGGCCGCATAAGAATAAATTGCATCGCGTTCGGGATTGCGTCGCGATCGGCTCTCGGCTCGGCCGTTGCCAAGACCCGGAAAAAGGAGAGGCGGGTTTTCTAGAACGGCTAAAAATAGCGCGCGCATTCTCGCGAAAATAAAATGGCAGCTCTATGGCAGGCGGTGGCCGATGAGAAGGAAGGAAGAAGGAAGGTGGGGACCGGGACGAGGGAAGAAGAAGAAGAAGAAGAAGAAGAAATAGGAGAAGGCGGGCGCGGTCGCGAACAGTGGTAATAGGAAAAAAAGGAGGCAAAGCATCTAAAATTGGCGGGACTGACTTGGCCAATATGCGGCGATGGTGGGCACCTACCGAAGAAATACCGGTTGGAGGAGGCTTGGACCTAGAGTAGGATGCGTCTAGGAACAAAGAAAAAAAAAAAGAAACAGGGGAAGGCGGGCGGACTTTGAGCGGATTCATAAATCCATGAGCCTAAGAAAGAGCGCTGCGTGCGATACCGGAGATATGACGGTGCATTACGATGGTGTATAAAGAGTATGAGATACCTTCATTATGGATTACAATACGATGATGGTCCTGAAGATTCCGCGATAGCCGCGTCGCGCTATCATGCAAATGTATCGTGCAAAATATGCGGCGTAGGGACGGTAATGATATCGATATTGCGCTTGAAGATACGATCTTGGAGTACGCAGTGCGTTAAGCGGGTAACATATTCTCGATCGTAATGTACAGCGACGAAAACAGCTTTTTAATAAAAATGAAAGGCAACTTTGTACTCGATCGAGCGAGTACCAAGGTGTTCGAGAACGAGAGTTACTTAACAGTGGACTTTATAGTGTTGACAACTTTTGTGAAAAACGAAAAAGAATAAGACACGCACCGTACATGTCTGCTTTTTGACAAAATAATTGTTGACACATGAGTCAAATGCGCATAAGATAAAACACTTTAACAGCGAAAATAGTGGATATTTGAAATTAGATAAATAAAAAGTTGAAGTATCGAGACATATTAATCCTTAATCTTTCTTAGAAAAGTTAAAAAAAAACCGTCAATTTATGACAGAGAAAAAAAATTTATATCATTGACATAAACACGAGAAGTTTGAAAAAGAATGAATGTGTAAAGTATAAAACTACATATCTAATTTTATGATAAAAAAATAGGTATATAGTTCTGTCTCTCTTACTTCTTCTATTACCAACAATATGAATCATTATTTATTTTTAACGCGGGACACACAGGGACAAAAAATATTTTCAAAGAAAATCGCAAACGAAAAGAAGTAAGTCTTCTTCCCGCCGATCCGTCGAGTCTCGTTTGCGTATGGACCTTGCATCTAAAAGAGCTCCGGAGAGAGGGATGAAAGGTTGCACCATCCAGAAGCAAAGAAAGAGAGAATATAAGTCGTGGGGAGAGAAGGGAGTTGGAGGCAGAAAAAGAGCGAAAAAGAAAGAGGGAGAGAGAGAGAAAGAGAGCGTCGACCTTGATGAAAATAACTCGTCGAACTGACCATACCTCTTGCACGTGAAGTTAAAAAGTGCAGCCTCGCTGCAGAGAGGGCTTTTGCCACGACTTATACATTCTCTCTTTTTCTGCCTTCGGATGCTGCAACCTTTCATCTTTCTCTGCGGAGCTCTTTTAGACGCAAGGTCCACGTGCGAACGAGAATCGGCGGGAAGATAAGTTACTTTATTTCTAATCTTACTAACTTCTTTAAAATTGCCTCCTAAAGAACTACATTAATTTGATTTCTTTCGACTTTCGATTTTTTCTTTATCGGAATTATCTATCCAACGAGATAAAACTGTTTAAAACAATGAGAGCGTCCCGATAATTTAACCATTATCATGTAATTGACTCTCGTATTCTACGCACCTTTGTTCTTGATAATACTTGTTACCGTTTCAATCATTTAGCGAATTTCAGTTTATGTGGAATTTTCCCGCATTCAATATTAAATATCTTCCGCCTGAATCGGAAAAGGAAAAAAAAAAAAAAAACGGTTTTACTCGAAAAATTGGATTTACGACCAAGTGCGTAATAAGGCTTCGAGGATATTGAGTGGCGGATATCGTGGAAAGGATTTGGCGTACGAGAAAGATTCGAGAGGCCGTGAGAGATGAACGTGGGTGGGTTGGGAGTTGGGAGCAGGATCGAACGACCTCAGTTCAGACACGAACCAACAGCGGCTCGTAATATCGACGTAGTTTTACAGGCGTCGAGGTGACCGATAGCGCTTTCGCTACCAACAGCTGATATATTCGAGTCGAATCGTGTCCACATGTGGTTCGCTTCTCAACTATCGTTCCCCGCCGCGTGATATTTAAAACGTGATTAAACAATGCGTTGAATTAGTAACGATCTTGAAGTCTTATTATCTTGTTATCGTCTTGTTATTGTTAACACGTGTAGTACAAGATGTGAATAAGAGAAGAAACTATTTCACTATTATTCTGATAAAGAATATGTTGATTATTTAATATTTCTCTATATTTAACGTAAGTTGCATAATTAGCTGTATTACAGCTAAATTTGGATAACGTAATTATTAGTTATAAGTTAGTTTTAGCTAGTTTTATCGTTTAATCGTAATATAAATAAAAACATTATTCTGACGATCGACAAAATGTGAATTTCACCAATAAATTGACAATCCCATTAATTTTACAGAATTTTGTATGACGTTAAGTCCGTATGAAACCCACGTCGTTGCACTGGGTATAGCGTCCGGATTTTGCACAACAATGCAACTGGGATTTGCACTGCGAACGAGTTTTTACTGTCATCAGTCATCAGGCAAACGGTGAGTTCTCATATTTACCTAACGTTGCAGTAGAGCGTGTGCATTCGTGCAGATAAATCATCATCGTCTGGTATCGCATGCGCACGTGTATGCGGCATATAAATATAAACACAACCTGTCATCACCACCAATGCAATGTCGAGGGTGAACACTTTTTATCTCGTGTTCCGATGGCTCTGCGTCTCTTACTCACGACCCCGACAAAGTGCACGATTATAAAAAGGTATCCTAGAAAAAAGCCTCTTAAGGGTGTCATGATTAGGGGTTAGTTAGCAAGGGACAAAAAAAGGGTACGCAAGGGTCGCGATGGTTTTCCCTAGCAGGTTGCGTATTTTTTTGTTTGGTTATCGATTTTCATCCACCTGGCTGAAAAACAAGCAGGGTGTTGCTGGTCGAAGGGAGGATAGGCTCTTTTTTCAGAGCGTGTCGCGCATTATTTACTGAAAAAAATTCCCGAAAATAGGCCATTCTTGCGCGCGACAAAGGTATGTAAACCCTTAACTCTCGAAACAAGGTGCGCTTTTGTATAGGAAAACGGCGGAAGCAAAGTATATATATATATATATATATATATATATATACATATCTCCATTAGCGTATCACGGCTGATAAAATACAGTTGTTTGCGTCTTTTTAGTCGGATCGTTCGATGAAAGTTATATGAAGTAGCTACAAAGTGTTATCATATCTATTTACTACTTAGTTGGTAAATTATGCGACGGTAGAACAATCGATTAATGACTTGAAATATTTATTTTCTTGTTAATCTGATTTGTTGGCGGTTAGCTTGAAAAAGGACACAGCACACAAATCTGTTGACACAGATTTGTTAAACGATAATTATATGCCTGGATAATCGACGTCGATTCCGAAATAAAATGCAAACTGCGAGTCGCAAATGTTTGGCGAATTTCGCGATCAACGGTGAACGGCCGCGTGCGAACCACACGTCTCCGTCCGTGAAATCTCGTTAGCCGTTTAATTATTTGTGTATGCTGAAAAGTTAAACGATAGAATTTTGCCAGCTTATCTACAGAACGTAAATACGAAGCGCGCTTTGGTCGAATTTTTTATTTATGTCCCTACTATTTTATCCGATAGCTATTATCAGTGACAATGTTTGTTCGGTGACAATGAAATGATGAATTAGCTAATAATTTATTAATTTTTTTTATCGAGCTACACAAACTTTATTAGATAAAAAGATCTCTGCATTTATCGAGTAATTGTTTAAAATCATCGACAGTTTCATCAGTCTCGCGAGTGACAGCTTCTGGGTCGAGAACTCGACCGAAAATCGAAATGCAAATGTCCCAGGATCACCCACCCGGAGGGCTCTTTAAATCTCTCGCACGTTTACCGGGCGGCTCTCGCTTGTTTATTTTTTAATTAAAGTCTTCCGCGGAGGCAGCTTCTCCTGGAGCGGTGGCCGGATTAAAAAAGGTCCCCCGGAGTTATTAAGCTAATAATGTGTCTCGTGCCGCGTGCCGTATCCTCCGTACGTAGATACGAAGTGACAAGGAGTGAAGCAGAGAGATGCAAAGAGAAAGAGAAAGAGAGAGGGGAAAAGGTCGAGGAGGGAAAAAGATGAGTTGCGAAGGTTTAGACGAAGGATAAAGAGGAAGGAGAACAAACTGGCGGAAGAGAGGATTGGCAATGTGGGAAGATGGTCGGCCGGTAAAAAAGAAGAGGGTCCAGAGCGCAAAAAATCACTTTGGCACGCGTACACAACCCCGTCCTGATCCTTCCATCGGGACGATCCTACTGATACCCACGAAAGTTTGCGACGACTCGGCTTTCCGAGACAACCTCACGTCTCGGAATGTAGACACGTGGTCAGTTTGGCACGTTTTTCCGTATGTGCTGCCAAGTTTTCGTCAAACGTAACTCCTTGGTTTTATGAAAAATAAATGTAATCGGATTTATCTTTTCGAGATCGAGAGTCTTCTCTTAAAAAACACATTCCTAGTTTTTAATTTATATATATCTTTTTTCATTTGAATCAGTTTACCAAAATCGGCAATTATATATATAATTGTGGAAATAAGAGATCGATTGAAATATTCCCATTGATAAAGTTAATATTTGTGCACTAATTTTAAAAGATTCAAATTAATAACAGTAGATGATTTTTTATGTTCTTTTTAATTATTTTTTACAAAATACTTTTTGAAACTCGTGATCAAAAACAACTGTACTATTTTGATCAGATGCAGCTCATGTAAATTGTTACTTTATAAAGCTTATATGCTTGATATTTAGGAGTCAATTAAATTTCAAGAAAAGTAGAACGATAACAATTGCAATTGCTATAAACAATATTAAGTCACGTGCGCTCAAAAAGCCGACTCAATGCGGCGACGAGAAACCTTTCAATTATAAATGTTTTAGACGCAGTCTCGAAAATATATTCTTTATAATAAGGAATTTATATCCCAGCATATCGAACCATTTTCCTCGCCTGTGATGTAAGCGTTTGTCGCCATTGTAGATGTTTCTGAAACAGACTCGCAGGCAGGAAGATAGGTAGGATGGAGAGGGTGGTAAAGAATGGCCAGACTCCGTGGCGGAGTAAAGCATGAAATAAACTCTCTATTATTGGGAATTTATGCAAAACTTTCCGGCGCAACACGCGAACATTTGTAACCGTCACGGATAACACTGATAAAAATAAAAGATCGGAGCATCGATAAACCACATTCCATTTAATTCTTAGCATATTGATCTTTTATATAGCATTTTAATTATTTGCAATGTACAAAATAAATTAAATGGATATAAATTATTCAAATATCACACTGGAGAAATGTTCGAAAATGATAAAAAATATATATGTACATCCAATTAATATATCTTGAATGCATAAAAATATGATAATACCTATATCAGAGCTGAAGCGTAAATAAATATCGTTGACATATATCTTGAAGCTTATTTATGCTAATTGCAAGATAAAAAATGAACAAAAAAGGAATTCGATGGAATGATGAATCTATTTATTCATTCTAAAATGCAGGCATATATTACCCGTATAATAATCCGATGTAATAAAAGTAGACTCACGTCGATGTCGATATTCGAGCGCAAAGAAGTCGCGCGACGACGATTTCGGCAAGATTTTGAAAGAACGAACAAAGAGAAAACGAGAAAACTGAAAGGCCGAAAAGGGCTTCAAAGAATGGCCGGAGGCTGTGGAAGGATGAAGGAAGGAAGGAAGGTCCGCTCGGCTGTCTCTCACCCTCTCGGACCACCCGCGCCTCCTTCTCTTCCGCCGCCCTCTTGCCTCTTCCTGGCCGTCATCTCCGGGGCGATTTTCCACGGCACCTAAGAGAAGGGGCCAATGAGACGCTGGGCGTCGGTATTGATCCGAGGCGTCGTCCAGGAGACGCCCGCTCCAAGACGCCCGGCTTGCCCGGCGCTAGAGAGCGGCCCCGCAGTTCGAGATAAAAGGACGAAAGCCGCTCCTGGAGACGAGCCGCGGGTCCTTCCGCCTTCCGTGTGTTCTCTCAAACCGTCCGCATGAAACCTCGTATATGATCCGATATGGTCCGCGCACTCCTGTGGCTCCTGGCCGCCACGATACCATTACACAGAGCTCGGCAACGCGAGTCTTTTATGAGGGTAACCCGGCCGACCGAAAAGTGTGTCGATCACCATCGTCGGTTCCTAGGTACGCGGAAACATTTTTTCGTTTTTTCTTTTTTCTTAAACGAATTAACGTCATTTAGTTTTCCTTCATGCACGGGTACCGACATGCATCCGCTCGTTTGTTGAACTTGAAGAGATAAGTGAAGAAAGAAAAATGAAAACTCTCTTTGTTTTATTCTTATGATAATCAAGTTTTATATTTAAAAATTGATTATTATTTTTAGTATCGCTATAAATAGCATTAAATTAATAGCGTATGTAAAAAATAGTTTCTAGTCAAATTGAATCCATAATTTAATAAGCTATGAGTAATATTAGAGATTACGGATTGAGTTTTAAATTCTTAAACTTTATGAAACATGCCGTATTCTCTTTCTTCGTCTTTGTTCACTCCAATGAAATAACATTTGCGAATTGCGTTCGCAATGTTTGAAGCCCTGAAAGCGTAACGAGCGGTTTGTCGTGCTCGATTCGGCAGAGACCTCGATCACTCCTCTAGATCGAACCTCGTTTAGTTCGGTGCGTTTAAAATTAATTATATACTCTGTTATCAATCACATTCGGTTACCATGGCAACGTAGCATCCCTTGCCATATCATGCCGGTCTCTTCAATAGCGCGCGCTCGCTCCCATTTGCGTATGACGAGCATAACCGGCGAACAAATACTGCACCCGAATTCGCGAAAACACGTCTTCCCGCTCGAGAGAAAACACCGTCGACACCTTTCCCGGCCAAATGAAACGAAAACATGTAACACGAATGACGGAGTGGAACATAAAATCATCGCTCATCCGTGCGTCAGGTCGGTTCTCGTGCGCAATCAGTCAACATTGTACTTTGTTAACATTATCTTTGGCTAAAACGCACATGTATCGTCTATTTTTTTTTTTTTGCATTTTTCTTTTTACCACATTTTTTTTTAATATTATATATAATTATATATTTTATAACCATGCATATATATTTATTAAATAATTATACAAATCGATTGTTTAGTGATCTTCCAATGAAAATGTCTCGTCGTTTTTTTCTTTCGACTACGAATGAAAATTCTCTGTCGCGTGAAAAGATTTCTTTTTATTCCTATTTCCCTCTTTGAGAGGATGCCAAAATATTTGACAGGCTCATAGCGAGAAAACTGAAGCGGCGACGTTATTCCGCAATCCACACGGCAATCTTGGCCGGTGTGAAAGGATACCCGAAGGAATATCCAATGGACGCGCGACGCCTAAGCTTTCAGTGGCGCGCGTCGGGACGCCGCTCCTTTTATTTTCCTTCAATTTCCTTCCTTTCAGGTTTCCCATCAGCCTTTCCATTAATATTAAAACAGGAGCGTAGCCTCGCGAGGGCT